GCAGGAGGAGGAGGAAAGAAAGAAGGAGGAGACCACAGCCTCCTCTGAAAATACAGAGGTAAGTTAAGATTCTGTCATCATCTGGTACTCGTTATATAAAAGGTTTCAGCAGCTACTCTGGCACTGTGTTACTACTCAGCTTAATAGCATAATCTCATCTTGCCTTTTGTGCAATCTCTGCTCCTCTGAATGTTCACGTCTGTCTATTACCAGGGAGCCCACGCTGACAGCAAGAATGCCAAAAAGAAGAACAACAAGAAAACCAACAAAAACAAGAGCAGCGTCAGCCGAGCCAATAAGAAAAAGCCTGGGATGCCAAATGTTGCCAATGATCTGTCCCAGAAGCTCTACGCCACCATGGAGAAACATAAGGAGGTGGGAAACCCTGCTAACTATAACAGATTTTTGCATGCCAGTTTTCCTTAACTAAAGTGGCATTCCATGCAGCATTGCAGCAAATTATTTATTTTAAGATGTTTTGTATTTGCATACCAAGCTGGCAGGTTGACATGGGTGTACCAATAATTACAGAATAGGCTCTTTCTCTCAATGGGACGTGGCTTACTGACATCTTACAGGCACACCGCAGAACGCATCAGCTTTGGATAGCAGGGAAGACACTTATTGCCACGTGGACATTCTACCCCACTTCACCATGACTGAGAGTTGGTCATTTGTTATGGCACACTTTGACAAAGCTAACAGATATGTTTTCCCTCCTTTTTGCTGCCAGGTATTTTTTGTCATCCACCTCCATGCCGGGCCAGTCATTAACACCTTGCCACCCATCATGGATCCTGACCCTCTGCTGACCTGTGACCTGATGGATGGCCGTGATGCCTTTCTGACTTTGGCCAGGGACAAGCACTGGGAGTTCAGCTCACTGAGACGATGCAAATGGAGCACAATGTGCATGTTAGTGGAACTACACAACCAGGGCCAGGACCGCTTTGTGTACACATGCAATGAGTGCAAGCACCATGTAGAGACACGCTGGCACTGTACCGTTTGTGAGGTAAGACATGGAAATGCATGTTTCGGAATCTTCTTCTGTCTCAGTTTTAAACTAACGTTGAGTTTAATTTTGACATAACCTTAATGTGGTCTTCATTGCCTCACCAGGACTACGACCTGTGCATTAACTGCTACAACAGTAAAGGCCATGAGCACCAGATGGTGAAGTGGGGTCTGGGTATAGACGACGACAGCAACAGTCAGGGTGGAGAGGCCTCCAAGAGCCCTCAGGAGAGTCGACGTCTCAGCATCCAGCGCTGCATCCAGTCCCTGGTCCACGCCTGCCAGTGCCGCAATGCCAACTGCTCTCTGCCTTCATGTCAGAAGATGAAGAGGGTGGTTCAGCACACCAAGGGCTGCAAGCGCAAGACCAATGGTGGCTGTCCTGTGTGCAAGCAGCTAATCGCTTTGTGTTGTTATCATGCCAAGCACTGTCAGGAGAACAAGTGCCCAGTTCCATTCTGTCTCAACATCAAGCACAAACTTCGTCAGCAGCAGCTGCAGCACAGGCTCCAGCAGGCTCAAATGATGCGCCGCAGAATGGCCACCATGGCTGGGAGGGGTATGCCCCTGCCATCTCCACCTACCTCAGCTGCCCCCGACACACCAAATTCTGTGCAGCAGCCCAATACACCCCAGACTCCTCAACCCATGCCCAGCCAGCCCCAACAACAGCAACCACCAAATCCTGCAAATATGGCCCAAGGCTTCCCCAACAATGGCCGCAGCAGTCAGCCGCCAACACCAGTGCCGCAGGGTAAACCAGGGCCTCAGTCATCGCCTCTCCATCAGCAGCAGTCACCTATGCCTAACATGCAACACCAACAGCAGCCCCAGCCTCCACCGCAGCAGCAGCAACAGCAGCCACTGCTGGCGGCCCTCAAGGTGGCCAGACAGATTGAGATGGTAGCCAAGGCAAAGCAACAGCAGCAACAACAGCAGCAGCAGCAACAGCAACAGAATTATGCCATGAATGGAATGCCCATGAACCACCCACGCATGATGGGCCAGATGCAGATGATGCAGGGGCCACGGGGCCCCCAGGTGATGCAGGCTATGCAGCAAGGCCAGTGGGGTCCGGGGATGCAAAATCCCCAGGGTCATCAGCCACAGGTTCCTCCTCAACAAGGCTCCATAGCCCCTCAGCAGGCTCAGGGAACCCCAATGCCCCAGCAGAACCAGCTCATGCAGAGGCCCATGATGCCTCAGCAGCAGGGTCTCCAAATGCCTGGGGTCATGCCTCCCCAGGGACCCTCACAGCAGGGCATGACACCACAGCAACAAAACATGCCTCGGGGGATGCCTGGTAACATTGCTCCAAGCGCCCTGCAGGAATTACTGCGTACGCTGAAATCTCCCACGTCCCCGCAGCAGCAGCAGCAGGTCCTGAGCATCCTGAAGTCTAACCCCCAACTCATGGCGGCGTTCATTAAACAGAGGACAGCCAAATATCAGGCCAACCAGCCGCAGCAACAGCAGGCTCAGCAGCCGAACCCTCAAGCCATGCTGGGGTCCCAGGCAGGAATGCAGGCCATGGCAGCCATGGCAAACCAGGTCCAAAGGCCAGGGATGGCACCTCAACAGCAGCCCCCTCAGCAGGCAGGTTCCCAGGGCATGGCGCCCATGGGCCCCCAAGGTCAGATGATGAATGCTGCTCAAAATGGCAACCCCCAGCTGTACCGTAGACAGCAGCTGCTCAGGATGCAGCAGATGCAGCAGCAGGCACAGCAGCAGCAGGGAGGCTTGCCTCAGGGCCATGGCCAGTTCCCCCAGCAGCAGCCAGGGCCAGCAAGCTACTCTCAGCTCCGTATGCAGCAGCAAATGGCTATGCAAGGAGGCGGGGGGCCCATGGGACAACTCCCACCCACATCCCAAATGGGCATGGGCATGGATGGGCCCCAGAGCCTCCTCCAGCAGCGCATGCTTCAGCAGCAGCAACAGCAGCAGATGATGAAGCAGCAGATGGGATCTCCAGCACAGGCTAACTCAATGAGTCCACAACCTCACATGCTCCAAGGCCAAGCCCAAGGAGGCGCTCACTTACCTGGCCAGACAATGGCAAACACTTTGGGAAACCAAGTACGCTCGCCAGCCCCAGTGCAATCACCCCGCCCACCGTCGCAGCAGGCCCCTCATTCCAGTCCCTCCCCACGGATACAACCCCAGCCGTCACCTCAGCATGGGGCCCTCCACTCCAGCTCTCCCCACCCCAGCCTTGGAGGTCCTATGTCTGGCTCCATGGAACAGGGACACATGGGAACACCGGAGCAGAGCGCCATGCTCCCACAACTTAACACACCAAACCGAGGGGGGTTAAGTAATGACATGGGGATGGTGGGTGACACGACAGGAGACACGCTAGAGAAGTTTGTTGAAGGATTGTAGCATTTTGAGACCGAAGAAAGGCCTTGTTCTGTTTTCAGCTGAGAAATTTTTGTACTTACGGATGTAAAAAGCTAAAAGAAAAACAAACAAATGAGTCTTACGAGGCCTACGGACTGTGAACTTTCCTGAAACCAAGGACTACTTTTTCTTACCACACAGAGTGATTTAATACTTGCTGTTGAAAAGAAGACAACAAAGACACAAAGAATATATTTTTGGTTCAGACCAGCCTTGCAAGAACTCGCCCTGGTCTTTGTGTTGTTTTAATTTGTTTTTCATTTGTTATGCTCTGATATTGACTTTTTACAAAAAAAAAAAAAAAAACTTCTCAAAACAAAAAATATTTCATTTTATTATTCTTTTTTTGTTTTGTACCTTTGCAAATTAATATTGTATTTGTGTTGAGAAGACTGTAAAGTTATTTGTCTGGGAATTTGTTGCCAGGTTTCACCTCTTGCTCAGTTTCTCTGTTCCTGGCTAATTTATTCTAATATGCCATTTTTCAAAAGGACTGCCTTTAGGAAAGCCTTAATTTCTTTCCTGTTCGCAGAGTCTAAAGGAGATTAACGTATTTGTATAGATCTAGGAACTATTGCACACACCCAAACACAACATGCAGGTTTAAGACATGCCTGTATTAAAGCTTGTTAATGTTCACAGGTGCCGGAATGTTCTTTTTACTGGCCTGGGCCCAGTGTTTGTCTTGCAGATGTTTAAAAATTGCTTTGTCTCTCCTTCAGTCTAAAGAAATTCTCATTAAATTGACTTGTTTGACTGCTGATTTGTGTTCAGAGAGAGTTTGGTGCATCATTTTCTCTCGCATTAAACTTGAATTGATGATGAACTATTCTCTAATGTAAATCATGCAGCTAGACAGTACTGTAAATATGCAGAAAATATGAATGAAATCACTGTACAAACTGGTTCAAATGGCTCATTTCGTACTTATATACCATATTGTTAAATAAACCTGTGTGCCACAGACTCTGCGTCAAATTTTTCTGTTTTCAAGAATATTCTGTTGTAAGCAGCAGGCAGCGATTATTCTGTGTATAAATTCTTTTACTATTACTATTGTGAATATTTTACTATTGTTTTCTCAAATACATTTTTAAATAAAATATAGAAAACAGATCATATTTATCTCATCCACCCAGCAGTTTAACAAGCAAAGAGATTCAGTTTAAGACAAGTAAAAGCACCCAAATCCTCACATTTTAGAGGCTGAAACCATCAACTGTTAGCCATAAATGCTTGAAAGTTGACAGAGAGGATGAAGAGAGATTCTGCCTGTTTCAGCTATAGCCAACACTAACATGACAAGCTTGTTTACGTCCTTTTCAACATTGAGCTTCGATATTTCAGATGAACAAGGTTTGACCTTGAAGAGCAAATTAAAAACTGAAAATTATCAACTTCAGATGATGAATGCACCAGTAAATAAACGATATATGCAGCCGAGAGTGGTAGTGTTTTCCACACATATCGATAAAACGAAAGTTGGCACTTATGTCTTGAAAAGGAATTGTAATAATTTTAACTTCACATCAGGCAGACGATGGACTCCCGTGTGACGTCATTTTAATGCGCGGCTGCAGGTCCGGTGTGCGCCGTTGTTCAGCGTGTGTCCCTCGGTCAGTCGACCTGTCATTAGTGTCCCCTCCGGTGTTCCACCATGTCCCGGTGTCTGGCTCTGGCTCGGTTCGCTCTCGGTTCTGCTCAGAGGACCAACTGTCGGCTCGTGCCATGTGCACGAGGACTGTGCAGCCGAACTGTCTCGCGCTCCCCGTCTGCAGGTAAGCGGTGTCTGTTAGCCTAGTTAGCCTAGCCGGCTCGTTAACAAACACATGTAAACTGTGCTGAGGCTAACTCCCTCTGTTAGCAAAGCGCAGGTTAATGCAGCTGGTTTGTTTGTTTGTTTATTTGTTTGTTTGTTTTACAGTTCAGTTAGAAAAAAAACGACACCACAGCTGCAGATACGTTAAACTTTATTAGTTAATTACACAACTGAAGTCGTTACATCAGACTGAACACACAAGAATAGAATAGACTTTATTTTCAAACAGAATATACACTAGTTGGTGCACATTGTGACTGAAATTTTCATGCAAAAACCCGCCATCGGACTGGTAGTAATAATATAATAATTATAAACTTTATTTGTATAGCACCTTTAAGAAAAGAATTCACAAAGTGCTTTTACATAATAAAGAAATACAACACGCAGTGAGACAAGGCAACAGAGGACAGCAACATGTATAAAAAGTGCAGGCAAACACTCAGAATATAAAAATACACAATAAAAATGAAAAAGAACAGGCTGGGTCACTATTGGAAGGTTTATTATAATAAAACTGATTAGAGACACGACATCACAGAGAGGAATAAAGATAAAAGTATGAAAAAAGTAGATTAAGAAAGAGAAAAGAGGGAAGGACAGCAGCCAGTACCGACAGATAGATAGATAGATAGATAGATAGATAGATAGATAGAACTTTATTGGTCCCTTTGGTAGAACCTCAGTGACATTGTTGAATTATAATATAAAATATAAAAGGGAAAAGAAACGGGCAAAAATCTAAAAGAGAACATCACTCAAATGTGAGT